AGGCTCCACTTCCTTCTTTGTGGAAGAGGGTGTAATAAAGGGCAATCTAATTTTACAAAAGTCACCTGTAACACTTCACCTGAATGTATCCATTTTCTAAAGCTCTTATTTCCTTATACAGAAGGAGGTCATGTCCTGGCACATCCTGATCACAAGACTCCTAAAAACTGTACTGAAATGACAAGCCCCTGGGTCATCATGGGGTGAAAGCAAAGTACCAATGTCCCAGTGAGCTCTCTGCCTCCTCTTAATCCTGCCTGGTCAGGCTGATGCCATCCATGTTGTAGAGCCATGTGGCTCTCTACAGGATGTTCAGAAGACTCAAGTCTCCCAGGAGAACAGAACCACTTCTTACAGCCCTAAGGTGGAACCCAGTGCATCTGTCTCCTTATCTTTTGTGATCAAGATGGAAAAGTATACCTTCACCAAGTCAATGGCCGAATGCCGTGAACCCTCCCTGAGAAGATGCCATGCAGACATGTCAGCCACTGTGAGAGCTGCTGCTGATTCAGCTGGCAGGTGTCTGCGCCTGTTCTTCAGGGTCTACCTGGTTTCATCAGGTACCAGGTTGATGAGTTACAAGGAGATGTGGTGGGGACCACCTTTGCATCCTTGGAGTCCTTGAGATCATCCTCACCATCTCCGAGATGCAGTTTGGGTTTTGATTTACTATCAGGCCAGGGGAGTGACCAGCTAAGGCAAGTCTGTTAAGCTAAGGTGAGGGCACTGATTGGGAAAACCTTGGCCCCTGACACACGCATGGGAGTATCTGCCTTTAAAGATTGCCACTTTGATTTTTTTTTTTAATTAAGTCCCAAGTTTGGCCTCTGGCCTTTAGTGATAAGTTCTTCATTTAGTGTCACTTGCTCAGTTTTTCTTTACCCCTCTGTAGGTGCAAGACTTAATAAAGTACAAACTTTATTAACTTTATAAAGTACAACACTTATTAAAGACCAAAAATGTACAAAACTAAAGAACTAACACCAGAGTGCTTCATTGTGAGTGCAGCCCCTCCTAACATCACACAGCCAGTGGATCACTCCTTCTCATTCCCTGTGAAATTGCTCTCCTTCCTCTCCCTGGGCCGCACATTGTACTCACCATGCACAGTTGACATTAATTTGGGAAATGGGCCTGTTACTTGATTGATCAGTTAAGGACAAGAAAAGTACATATAACATTTCACCTGAATGTTTCCATTTTCTAAAGCTCTTATTTCCTTATGCAGACAAATACAAGTCTTAAACTGTTGTGATTTTCCTTCTCTGAAAAAAAATATTCTAGCAATCTTCCTAAGTGGTAAATGACCTCAACTTTGGTTTTAAAAAGCCCTTAGTTCTCCTCACTTTTGAAGATACAGAATTTTTGTTTAAAAATTTAAAAGTTTAAAAACAATTATGCATTGCTTCATGACAGGGCCATGTTCTGACAAATGTGTCCTCGGGGGCTCTTTGGCACTGTGTGAACATTGTGCGTGGTGCATACACTAGGTGGTGGCCGGCCACCATTGAGGCGATGGGATCTACAGGACCACTGTCTCATCCGTCCTTGACCAAAGCACTAGCATGCAGGCACACCTCTCTTCTGCATGGCTTCTAAGACTTCTGTAACTCTTCCTCTTCTTCTTCTGCAAGATATTCTTCTTTTCCTGGGTGCTTTGAAGACCACACCTTTCCTGGACATTGAAAACAACATATGCAGGTGTTTTGTTTATGTGGTTTTGCTATTGACCTTCCTTTGTCTTCTCTGACCTTGTATGTACACGATTCAGTGTCTGTCTTTTATTGAAGAAAGTATTCTCCTAACCAATCACTGTGTCCACTCCTGATTTCTAGTTATGTGACTCTCTGTTATGTGACACCTTTCAAATTGTCCTACTCCCCTTAGGAGCACCAGGCAGGGCAGGTGGGGTGAAGTGGGGCATTTCCCTTCTCCAGGGCATGCGGGCTCTGTGAAATAGCAATTCAGCATATGCTCAGTGCCCCCCACCCCTGCCAGAAGCCGGAGGCCGTTTCCTGCTCCTCAAGCCTCGAGCAGCTCCCGGAGTTAAGCCTGGAGACTCTGGGTCCCTCCGCAGGTGGCGGGAGTGTCCATCTCAGCTGTTGCCTCACAGCCCCAGCTCTGGGACAGGTGCCCCTGCCAGTTGCAGGCTGCAGCTTTGGAGTCTGCTCCCCTGCTTTCCTTCTGTGATCTGTGTCTGTCTGTCCAGCTTCAGGGAGGTGGGCAGACCCCAGTTCTCTCACGAATCCCAGAAGAGTTTGTGTTGAGTTCGTTCGGCGTTTTTCTTGTTGTGAGAATACAGCTGGTGACTCGTGCCCTTGACCTGCTAGAGCAGAAGCTACGAGGCTTTTAATATGTTTTCAAGTATAATTTAAGGTGAAATTGATACCTTTATTTTCCTGAAAACATTATGCCACTCAAAAACTCTTTGATGAAATGTCTTTTAAAATTATTTGTTTTTTAAGTCAGGCCATTTGTTTTCTTATTATTGATTTTGGAGACTTTTACATATTCTGTACAAGTCTGCCACGAAATGTTAAGAATCACAAGTAGATGTTTTTGCCTGGGTTTTTTTCCTTTTATTCTCTTAACAGTGTTGTTGGAAGAGCACAGGATCCTGTTTTGGGTGCCATCTCTAAGATAAACTGGCCAATGTCAAAGTTTCAACTGTTTTCTCCCATGTTTTCCTCTGGGATATTTACAGTGTTAAGTTATACATTTTCAGGAATAATCTACTTGAATGAAGATTTTTATGTGGTACAGAGCACGGAAGTTCATTTTTATATGGATGTTCAGCTCTTGTGGTAGAAAACCAGCATATCTTATCCACTACCCTGCTTTGTAACCTTGTCAAATTGTACTTCCTGTTCTATTTCTAGACTTTCTCTCCTGTTCCTCTGGCCCACATTGTGTCCACATGCCCACCACATGGATGTAAGGTAACATCAGAGCAGGTCTTGAGACCAGGTCATGTCAGATCTTCTGCCTTGTCCTTTTCCGAAGCTCTCTGACTGCTCCAGCTCTTCAGCATCTCCATGGGATTTTTAGAAGCCGTTAGTCAATTTTCACATGAACTGACAGTTTTGTTTGGAATTACATTAATTTAGATCAGGTTTGGAAAAACTCATTTTGTAATTTTATTCAGTCTTCTGAATTTTCCCAAGCATTATTTTATGGTTTTCAGTGAAAAAAAAATATCTTTTGAAATACTTCGATTCATGATATCTTTTCCCAGTTTTCACTATTTGGGGAAAATATGCACAACATAAAATTGACCACCAGGTTACTTTTAAGGGTACAGTTCTGTGGTGTGAAATGTAATGATCTTCCATTCTGTGGCCCTGAGGCTCTGGGCCGATAAATACATGTAGCTCCCACTCCCTTCTTCTAGTCTCTGGCCACCACCATCAACTCCTAATACTTCATCTTAAAGTATAAGTTTTTAATGGTATTCTAAGTGATACTGCTTTTGAATTTCCATTTCTGATTGTAATTGCTAGCCCTTAGAGTTGGTAATTATGTTTTCTGAAAGCTCAATTGATATGTTTCTGCATTTAGACTTGACTCTTCCTAAAATCAGGAACTGCTTTTCTGAGCCCTCTATTCAAAGTGTCAATCAGGAGTGTGAATGAATGGGTGAAGGTTGATTTGAACTTCTCTGCCTGGCATTTTCTTATACCCTGCACCTGGGAAAGTTAGGAACTTCCTTTTGTTTACTCCTCATTGGGTGTCATAGGAAGCATCGTCCCTTGGTTTATCTGCCTCATCCATTTATAGTCTGCAGTAACTTTATTAGCGGTCTTAAAGTTATTGTCAAGACAAAATGAGTTTCCAATACTCTAATTACTACAAAGTTTAGAGAGGAAAAACATTTAAAAGCAATTTAACTGTTATGTCACAATTTATATTAAAATCTGTATTCACAATATTTGTAGAAAAACATTGAGTCTACTCACAGAAAACACCCAGCCTGAATTTCTGATGGGTCAATCACAGCAAAAGATGGGTGTGGGGTATCTGGGATACCTTGAGGCATGATAAAGTCGGGACTGCTCTTAAAGTGGTGCCAGCAGGGTGGAAGGAATGAAGGAAACTCCTGGATACAGCTTCCAATAGCAACAACGGAAGGGTGTGAGCCACAAATTAAATGCCAAAATACCGATTCTAAGTTCACAAAATGAAGTTAGCCACACATCCTGGATACAGGTAAGTGATTTAGTCATTTCAAAGAATGCATTCTTTAGAATTAAGTAAACAGAAAATACTGCTGGAATAGCACCCAGATAGTTGTTGCAAGAAAGAGCCACTGGTGGCTGCTGACGTGGGGAGGCAAAAGTCAGGAAAATAGCAACATGCTTGCAGGATCTCCAGGTGCTTTCTCCAAGATACGTATCAGTTGTAAAAGAAAAAAAAAAAAAACAATAACTTCACAGCAGAGAAACCCAGGAACCATATCACCTTAGCCAAGGGTCCACTTTGCTTCCCAATCACAAGTCATGGTCAAACCGTGCACCTGAAGATCTCACAGCTGATCTCCACCCGACAGAGCCACTGGCAAACACAGAAGGTCAGTGAAGCTCTGTGCATGCTAGGCACAGCTCACCAGTACTGGTAACAAGGTAGGGACCAGGAAAGACCCATCTCCCAAGCCCGGACACCCATGAGGGGAAAAAGAAAGAAGGAAGGGAGGTGGGCCATGAAGACAGAGGAGGGGATACGACGTATAAGGACAGTGTGGGATCCCAAAGTGGATCCCGGGACTGAAAAAGTGGGTTAGTGGAAAAGTGGGAGAGACCTGTGGGAATGTCAACAGTGCACCTGTGTGGTTTGCCGTGGGGTCCTGTGGCTATTTCAGAAGCCTGTCAGTGCAAGCAAGGCCAGGGTATCTGTGAACTCTGCTGTATTTCTGATAATTTCCTCTCAGTTTAAACTTATTTGAAAAGAGAAGCTAAAATTAGAGTTAATGATAAATGTGAGTTCTAAATAAACCAGGTCAGTTCTTGTTTGAAAGATATTCCAATAATAACATTTTATTTTTTGTTTCATAAAAATTATTTTTGTTCTGGCAGTCCTTAATTAATTTGAGGGAATTGAACCCAAGGGCATGCTACCACTGAGCTGCATCCCAGCCCTTTTATTTTATCTTGAGACGGGGTCTAGCTTAATTGCTCAGGCAAGCTGGAACGTGCGATCCTCCTGCCTCAACCTCCAAGTTGCTGAAATGACAGGAGTACACCATCACACCTGGAAATAAATCTCATTTCCAAAAGAAGCATCAGCATCAAAACTCTTCTGTAAGATGAATTGCATCTTACAGTAGATCTCAGTACGCACCTTCCCACTTTTGCAATTAAATGGGAATTTTAACTTACAACATCACACACTTCAGTTATTAGTGTCTTCTTTTTCACCCAGAAAAATCTATCTATCTGTTTCGCCATGGGGGGTAAAACACTGCATCCCCTAATCCAGTTCATCACACTGGTTAGTGGAGTATGGGATTAACAGGGGGATTGAAACCCAGGCAGCACCACATCCCGTCTTCCCACTTAGTTGTATTCATACGTGGTAGAACTCCACAAATTCTCAGGAAGATCATTATGACCAGCTTCTTGTGTCAGCCAGGCTATTTTTCTCTGCAAAAGGGAAGGAGGATATTTTTATCATCACAGAGAATGTCAAAAAGCCCAAACAATGCCTTGAATAAACAGCTATTTATTTGAATTTATTGGTCCCTTGGTGTCCAGAAGTAATTACAGAAGAGTCCTGAGAAGCCCCAGGGAAGGCAGAGGACTTGTGGGCTTACAGCACCACAGAGCTTGGCACACTTAACACAGGTATGTCAGAGCCAAAAATAAAGAAACATTAATGTATCAACGATGCTGATACTGTTTAGAAAGACAATGTGTATTTCCCGAGGCATTTTAAGCAACAAAGAACATATGGAAGCAAACAGCAGGAAAAATAAAAATAAAATGGGAACAAGGCTGGAGTCCCTCTGCCAGTGTGGAATCCTCCCACTGTCTCAAGGCATCCGCGGGAATGTGCATACTCCGCAGACTCTCTCTCACAAACACAGGGCCTCACACAGTATTCAAAAGTCACGTAGCAGATGCAGAAACGTGTCTTCAGCCTGCCGAATATTCACACTGTACCTAATAACACGTCTCTGAGTAGCAATAAAGGGTTCTCTCCTACTTTGTTTGGAATATTACCCTATCAGTCGCCTTTTTTTTCCCCCTTAAATATTGCACTTGGTCTCGGTTCCGTCCTGTGAGCTTTTGACTCTGCTCAGGGTCTCCACCTGGCTCTCACCTGCCCCTGCTCTCCCAGCCGATCCTCTCCCTTCTCATGGAGAATAGTCAGCACATCCTGTGCATCTCCACACCTCCCCTCTGCCCGTCCTCCTCCTGGTTCTGCGCTTGCTGTCTTAGGGGCAACGTCTAGGTTTGACACTGCCTGGCTCCCTGTAGACGTCACCACTATGAACCAGCCTGTGCTCTAACCAATCCTTCTGACTCCTGAAATTGACCCTCTTCCATCAGTCATTAAATAATGGGGCCCTTCACGGCTCCATCCAAACTCCACTTCTAATTGCAGTCTATAATATCCCTCCTGGCAAATACATCAGTACCCTTGGCTGCAATTATCAGCTAGATGCCAAACCTTCCAGGAGTGTTCATTTAATAATTCATGGATCATGCACTGAGTGCTTAATGTGCGACAGACAATGTTCTAGATGTCAGAAAAGCAAATGGAATGTGGTCCTAGCCCCCACCTAACATCTGAAATTCCTCTGCTTACCTGCAGGCCCATATACCACCAGCCATCTTCATATTTTCACTAGAATATCTCACAACAGCTCGCACCGAGTCTAGTGATGTCTCACACTGACATCTTTGATTCTTCCCAGCCACAAACATCATCACTTCTTTCCTGTAGCAGTCCCAGCCTCCTACCCTTGTATCTCTGAATGCACTCCTGCCGTTGCTCACGAGGTGCTCCTGAGCTTGTCCCCACCTCCCTGCCTTGACCCTGAATCTCTCCCTAAAGGCGCCTGAGCAGGGGTGGTCTTCTTCCAGTTCTAAATGCAGGCCACACAACAACTGGTTGAGTAGAAACCTTAACAACCGTAAGCTCTCTAAAGAAGCCTCCAAGCTGTCAGTCAGCACTACCTGTACCACCCTCACACGTACCCTAAAATACAACCTCCTTCATGCCAGTCAGCACCGTGGGGGTTTTACTTTCCTCTGGATGTTGTGATGATGATGATGATCTGACAGATGGCTCTCTTGTCTTCTGATACCTCAGTTTTATGACAGCAAGTCTCATGTCACCTACATTTTCAAATTCCATCCTAGTTGATTGTGGAAGCTGAGGAAATCATTGATGCTTGAAAAAAAAAAGGTAAATATGTAGCCAAATGCAGTGATTCTCCTTCTCAATTTGAAGCCATGTCTCTAGACTGGTTAATAGCTAGAAGATGAGAGAGCCCTTCAGACCCCTGGGTGTCTGTAATGAACACGATAACTGTGTTCAAGGTCACATTTCATTGCTGGTACCATCCCTGACTATCTCTTGGCTCTGTGTCTACACTTCAGTGACCTGCGTGTGAAACTGGAGGTGGATGAAATCACCTTTCTTCTGTGGTCAGCAGCAGGGCCCTGGGGAGGGGGCTCTGCAGGTGGAAGAAGCCACCTGCTGCTTCTGCTGTGGATGGTACACAGTGGCCCTCATCTTCTGGTGGCCATTCCTTGCACACACTTTAGACTTCCTCTGGTGATGTGAGTTTCTTGCCTTTGGCTGTCTTGTTGCCAGTCTGGTCCTGCCTGTTCTCCATAGAGGATTCCTGGTTGTCCAGCCGAGCCCATTGTCCAGTTAACCAGCACTCTGGAGGAGGCATCCCACTCCCCATCCCTGCCAGACAGCTCACGCCAAGTAAGGGGAGACCAATAAGGGCTGTGTGGACCATCCTAGGGTACCCAAAAGAGTGTCCTGCCACCCACTAGACTGTCACCCCCACCCACTGAGGTGCAAATCCTAGCATGGTGACACCCTTCCTAGTTTTTTCGTACTTGAGTATATTCCTTTCAGTCCCAGAGCATTCTCTAGGGTTCTGTCCCATTTCTTTTTTAGTATCTAATCCCCTGTATGTGAATAGTGGGAAATTCTTTACTTAAACCTTGCCTGCTCAAATTACTCTGTACATTTTATTCCCAATGATCCTGATCAATGCATCTCCTACAGTGTGTGGATAAAACAAGGGCTAAGATTATTGCGAAGATAAGCTGAAGAGAAAATAGCCTATCAGTCTACTTTTACTATAATACACAGAACATTACACTCATATTAGGGATCCTGAATCATTTAAGAACAAAAATAAAATAGATGATAGGAGACATGATCACTTTAAGCAAGATTTGACTGCCTGATCTTGTAAGTAATCACTGTGAGTAACAGAGGTGGCCCTCACTCCTGTAGGAAATCACTGAGGTTAAGCATCTCCGTCCCCAGCTCAGGCACACCACACTGTATGTTATAGCTAAGGTCAATACTTCCATTTATATTCTGGATAAGATCCTTTCTTGCATACGAGGGTAATTTATTCCAGCAATTTTCTCTTCTTATCTCTTGCATTGCCATTGCCCCCTCTTTAGCAGGCCATTCCCATCAGCAGACCAACATGTCCCCTCTCTTGCAAATCCAGAATTGAATCATAAGAGCTGTCCTTCTTTTCCACATCTCCCTTCATTCATTGTGCCATCTCTCTGCTCTTCATTCCAAAACATCAAAAATTCTAGAACATGTCAATGCCCCTAGTTTTCATTTCCACTCCCCCACAACCCTCTCTTGAACTTACTGTTGGTAGACCTTCTTTCCTCACCACCTGGTCCAGGTCTTCTAGTCCCCACGTGGCCACAGCTAATGGATGTCACACCCCTTCCTGGTAACCTCATGAGTTCCCTCCCACAGACTATACTCCTCTTTCCCTGAACCATTTTCTCTTTAGCTTGCACAATACAATACTCTGTTTACTAATGAAAGATTTCATCCATCTTCTCTGTCCAGTCATCCACTGACTGTCCCTGGGGCTCTTTGGAGACCAGTAAGTGTCAGGTATCCACTTCACAGACTGCAGTTTACTAGCGCTCGCAGAAGAAAACACGTCTTGGTCACAGTGGGCCTGGCAGGTCCCTCACACCACCGCAGGAGGAAGCAGTTTATGTGCTAAGCTAGACAAAGAATGTACCTGCACTTTCCCCAAGACCGTTCAAATGTCAATCCATCAGGCAAGGAACAGTCCAGATGTCAGCAGCTGGCACAGCACAAGCTGGCCAGACAGTCTTGACATCTTTGTTTATCCTCTCAGTTCTGGAAGGCCTGCTGGGTCACTCAGTAGCCCAAACGGTGGTTACCACCATGATGGGTCCCTGCAAAGCACTTGGATGTTTTTTCTTTGATGAAAAGAATGGCCCTTGATAAGGTATTCTGCACACACTAAGCATCTGAAACTGCCACTGCTCATTCTGCTTTATGAAATATCTGATAATTTGACTATTATTTAAGTAAACCTAAAATCTTATTTTGGTGAAAGCTATAATGTTAGTCTTTCTGAATTCCAATGTGAATTGATTAGTGAAAAAATTGGGGGTATTAGGAAAAAAGGTGTGGCATTGGTAAGAATGACCGCAGGATAATTCAGAGAAAGGAGAAAATAAGACTCTGCTTGCCCATGCTATGGTGAAATCTACCTTTCAGACTCTGAATTCCTGATAAAAGAGAGAAAGCTATAGGAGAAAGACCAAAACAGAAGAGAGACATCAGAGAAATTGGACAAGAGATTCATCTGAACTGTAGTTCACCACTGTGATCTTTCCTATTTCAGAATCTCTTGCCTCCCATTCCCCAACTTGTATATCAATCAGGAGATCAGAGTGGGCCATCACCATGGGGCAGGGTAGGAAGCTAAGGGATAGGTCTTGTAAGGAACACTGGAATGCTGATTTCTGACAAAATTAACACTGCAAAATACACAAGTTAACTCTCATGCACATAGTTTTGGAAATATCTTGCTGAAAAAAAAGCCTATGACATTCTTATTCCTATGTTGGCCAATTACATGTTGAAAAAGGGGTTAGCTAATGTTTATCCATATATTAGTCATTCATTTATTCACCCAAAGTTTGTTGATAACCTCTTCTGAGAATTTGCTCATGGCTATGTTAAAGAAATTATTTTTTTCCAAAAAAGAAAAAAAGAAATCCTATGTTGTAAATATACAGTAAAAATCCAATTCCCATCAAAATCATGCTTTAACATTATTAGTGAGCTGGAAACCTAAGAAATGCAATTCAGAAATACTAGCTCTATATTTTCTGCTTCTCATTTGCCTGTATCAACAATGGAGTAAAATAAAGCGTGAGAGTCTTGGGGGAACATGAGAGGACTCAATGCTCTCTTGACATTGCATGGTGCCCCTCAATGGCAGTCTCATGGGAAGAATGAGAAATGAGCTGTAGCTCTACATTTCAAATCTGCTATTCACCTCCCATAAAGGAAGGGTCTAGGATGGCTGGGAACCCAGGCGAGTGGTCGGCGTGAAGCACACGTCCATGTTACAATTCACAGTGTCCACTTCAGCGAGTCAGGCAAGTATGGATATGAACACCAGAAATGACCTTTTCAATTCTGTGATGTGACTTGGCAAATATTAGCAGAGATGGCCACAAAACTAGCCTTCCTAATTCACATGCACCACCACAAGCAAAGCTCTAGTAAAGGACACACCTATGTGGCCAGCTACGTCCCAATGAAAAATTACAGAAGTGACAACCAACCACAGGTGCGCACGCTGCCTTCCACTCCCAGGCAAGGAGTCCTCTGTGCGCGTCCTGTGGATCTTACATTACCCCAGTTTGGCTTTTCTCCTGACAGCTACTCTACTCAAGTTTTCACTGATGTCTTATGTCAAAGCTACCTTCATTTACCATAATTTGGCTAAGGAAAATCATGTAGAGTTGCAGAATATTTCTATCATGCTAAATGACCTAAAATATTGCCTATAAGTCTTGATTGTTCTGACCCCACCATCTCCTCCTTGGGTCTAAGCATGTGTCCCAACAAAATTTGCCCTTTGAGGCCATGAGGGGTAACACCACGTTGTGCTCTGAACACCCCTGAGACTTGAATGCACCTGTCCATTCCCAGATCTAGTGAACTCAGCTGAGGCCCCAAGAGACTCAAGGAACTATTTATTTTTTATGGAGAAAAATCAAAGTCCTGAAGAAGCTAAGCTTCAATTTTTATTTCTAACTAATTATCCCAAGAAATACTTGATTGTTGCATAGAAGAAAAATGTATGAATAAAAAAAATCCAGCTTAAATTATTTAGTGAGTCTATGGGTTTTGAATATAAGTGCTAAAAGTATACTTATCTATGATGACTGACTCAAATTGTTCTTTCTCATACATAAAACAATTTTAATGCATTTATTCCATCTCTTTATTTACTTTTTTTTGGATTTTTTCCACCTACCCATATGACAGGACCCTGAACAAGTTATTCAAGTTTAATGGATTGATTGAGACTGTTCCATCCTATTCTTTCTGAAGCAAACAAAGAGCATCAATCAAACTCCTTAACTCTGAATTCCATTTTGCCTGAAGAACTCTGGAGAGTACTATCCACTTTCAGTTGCAGGAGGTACAGATCCATTTTCACAATAGCCACATAACAAAGTACACTGTCCAAAGTTCCATAGCCCAATTAATGTTCATGAAAATCAATGGAGTCATTAGATCAAATTCTAAGTCAGACTGGCATCCATATGGATGGGAACTAGGAACTTAAGAAAAAAAATCCAGAAAAGTCACTGACGCATTGTTATTAGCAAAATAGAGAGTGAATAGAGCCAGTGCCAGCAGATTCCTTGTCTTTCTAATTTTTTTTTTCCTAAAATATAATGCCCTGGAAAAAATGTGGATGTGAGACTGCAAAGCAAATATCTGAATCTCTTGACTCTAGGGTGGTTGACCTTCTGTCCCAGGCACTTGAGTTCTGATGAAACTCATCCATAGAAAAACTAATGAGAAGGTTTGAAGTTCCAGTGGGTTGCTAATGAAGTCACACCAAGACTGATGAGGTACAACGATGTACAATTAGCACGTGTGTGCGTGTGTGTGTGTGTGTGTGTGTGTGCGTGTGTGTAAGCACACATCAGAAGGTTGTTCAGAGATCCCTATCTTGTTCAATCTCCCTCTGCATGACATAAAACGTGACCCCAAATGTCACCAGGCATGCTTATCGCCTCCAGCTCCTGATCATTTATCCGCTGTGTCCCCTCCTGACCCGGAAGGTGGAAGGGCTGAATAAGATGATAGTCAGGGTGTAGGGCCAGGTGTCAGACTCGGAATCCTTATTTTGCAGCAGAGGTTAAAGAAGTGAATCACAATTTGAGAGACACGAATCAACTACCACATGCAGAGTACATACAAATGTGCTTAGCCGAGCTGGCTCAGTAAGTGCCCTCTTTTTCCTCTCTCTCTCTCTCTCTCTCTCTCTCTCTCTCTCTCTCTCTCTCT